GCAATAAGAAGTAGGGTAAGAATAAGAAATTGACCAATCATAGTTGATTATTCTTCTCACATTCGACTGTGGTTGGTCAATTTCTTACTCTTACTTCCTACTTCTTGCTATTTACTTCCAATGTAGACGTCCCTTAAAGCGTCTTCTACAATGGCAGTAGGAGTAGTAGTAAGAAATAAGCAGTAAGTAAATAAACCAATCACAATCGATTATTTTTGAAACGTGAAAATGGAATTGGTCAATTTGCTCACTGTTTATTTCTTACTACTACTCCTACTGCCATTGTAGAAGACGCTTAAAGGGACGTCTACATTGGAAGTAAATAGCAAGAAGTAAGAAGTAAGAGTAAGAAATTGACCAACCACAGTCGGATGTGAGAAGAATAATCAACTATGATTGGTCAATTTCTTATTCTTACTTCCTACTTCTTACTGCTTACTTCCAATGTAGACGTTCCTTAAGGCTAGTGGCACACAAAAAACTTAAGCAGTAAAACGTAAGCAGTAAGCAAATTGACCAATCACAGTCATTGATTCTTCTTACGGTCCAAGAATCAACGACTGTGATTGGTCAATTTGCTTACTGCTTATGTTTTTCTATGTGCCACCAACTTAAAGCTGGCTACACACACTTTTCGTAACAGTAACCGTAAGACGTAACGTAAGAATTGACCAATTACGATCGAGTATTCATAAAAATGGCGACCTCACGAATCGACAATTCCCAACATGATTGGTCAATTCTTACGTTACGTCTTATGGTTACTGTTACGAAAAATGTGTGTAGCCAGCTTTACGCTTACTGGATCATACCCTAAACCGTACACGAATAACAACTTACGAGGCGTGAAAGTTCGAATTATCACACTTAAAAATGGTAAACTTTGATTGTCTATAACTTTTTAACAAACAACGAGCGATGGTTAAAATCTTTTGCATGTTACTCAGGACCTTGATAACATATGTCAAGATGATTGAAATTTATAAGGTCGCCAATTTTATCCATAATTATCGACATTTAATCTTAGGGTCGAAACGTACGTTTGGCAATTATGTATTCATTATGTATTCATTCGGTTTATCGTTATTATATTAATTTTGGTTCCGCACTAACTTTTCCATTTATTGGCTTCCATTAACTTTCTTTTTCTTTTTTTTTTATCTGAGCATCAAGGAGATCTCTTTTTTTATTTGATATTCTATTGTGTATTACAGCGCCAGAAGGCACGTACAAAAAAGGAATACGTGAAGTATTTGTTAAATTGATGAAAAACGAAGGACCTGCAGCACTTTATAAAGGTGTCGTACCGGTAATGTTACGAGCCTTTCCCGCGAATGCAGCTTGTTTTATGGGCTTTGAAGTTGCGATGAAGTTTTTAAACTGGATCGTACCAGGATTATAACTACTATATATATGTGCATAGAAATCGCGCGTAATGCAGTCACAGAATGTGTAGAAGACACGTCTTGCTATGTTATGTCTATCGTCTTTTTTACTTTGCCACGCGTATTCCATGAATATAAATTAATTCTTTACCGTGGCAGAAATAAATTATCTAAATTTGTATTTGTTTCAAAATAATCACAAGTGGAGTTCAAAAAGACGACATATAATCGCAAGGTATTAAGAATTTAAGAAGTGAAATAGGAATCTTAGGCCTGGTTGCACTAACGTTATTTTCGTTTTAAGTGAGACTTAAATTATATGTCTGTCTTCATTTATTTAAAAAGAAAAAGATAAATATATGTTTAAGTTTTGTTTAAAGCCAAAACAATGTTGCAACTAGATCTTATTATGCCTAAAAAAGATATATATTCAAGTTTTTTTACAATTCAATCGTACAGAATTGTTTAACAAACAAACAAATGAAAGTAAACCATCAGGGAATAGGTATAATGTTCATGATAAATATAGTATTTGTTTTATTTGGGATATATATATATATATATATATATATATATATATATATTTTATAAAGTTTTAAATTATATACAGGGCCGTCGAGATAAATCTGGAAACACCATGTAAATAAAACATAATTAAAATACAATGAAAGCATGAATATATTCGTATGTAAGTATCAACGAATATAAAAGAATGAAACTATGCAATGTAGCCTCTATCAGCTTCTACGACCTTCTCGAGCCTGGATCTAAACCGGCTGTAGACATACTTAACTTCTTTCTTGTCCAAATGTGTCATCACCTTCATGATGGCGGACTTCAGAGCATCTTTGATGTTGTGATGTTTTGCATTGACCTTTGCCTCGATCACGCCTCATACGTAATAGTACAAGGGGGTTGCAATCACTATTAGAGGGAGGCCATAAGTCGGGGGACCAGCGGTAGGGCAAATTGTTGTAAAGCCAGGCCTGAGTTTTCTTTGCCTTGTGAGCTGGTGCCGAGTCCTGCTCGAACATATATTCCTTTCCAACGGCTATTTCATCTATCCAGGACTTTACAACCGTCTCTAGCACGTTAATGTAACTGTCGGCTTTCAAATCCTCCTCGACGAAGAGATACCATGATGTCATCAGATCGCTTTTTGTGTATTGTCCGATCAGTAGTAACCTTCTCTTTCTTGTTAGACTCTCTGAACTTTTTGGCTATGGCATAAACTTGCCATAGCCAACCACCTACAAAAAGACCTGGCGTCTTTTTGTAGTCAAACCATGCGATTATTTTCGTAATTTGCTGGTGCGAAGCGTTTATTATCGTCTTCCGCTCATATTCTCAGCTCACTACTGGTTGTTAATTGCTCGGTGATTGTCTCTTGAATGATCTTGTCGTGACGTGCCACAAACGCGTTATGCATTCAAAATCGGCGCTGACGTCGTTGCTATAAGTAAACAAGTTAAATTTCTGGATTTATCTCGATGACCTTGTGTATATATATATATATATATATATATATACATACATACATACATACTAAGTTCCATTTATAAACATATCATATGTTACAATGTGATAACGATTATATTCCTGAAAAGTAATTTGTCGAAGATTATATATATATATGTATATATATATATATTCCACACAATTATAGAAAATATATATAAACTTTAATACTGAATAAACATATATATTGTAGAGTTTGAATATAAAATTTTATTAATATAGTATATGCGTTATATGTATATATGCATGTGTGTATATGTATATGTGTGTGTGTGTATATATACATATATATACATACATACATATATATATACACATATACAGGGTGTCCCATTTTAAATTACGCACCTGAATATCTCGTCAGGGGAGCCACCAATCCGAAAATAACCTTTACAAAAGTTGTTGGGTTCGGAGGGGGACATCGGATGGTGATTTTCAATTTCACCTTGACCTTGACCTTTAAGGTCGATTGAAGGTAAAATCGAATTTTTAAATAGAAACTCCTATTTTTGACCCCGGCTTCCGAAAAAGCGCAAAATTTTACGTTTAGATGGGTACTTGAGGCTCTTCTTTGGAATGACCTTCAGAAGTTATTTTAAGGACAAAATATTTGAAATTACGCACCTGAATACATATCTTGTCGAGGAGCAACCAATCCAACCCTTACAAAAGTTGTTGGGTTCGGAGGGGGACATCGAATGGTGACTTTCAATTTCACCTTGAGCATGAAGGTCAAGGTCAAGGTGAAATTGAAAACCATCCGATGTCCCAACAACTTTTGTAAGGGTTATTTTCGGATTGGTGGCTCCCCTGACGAGATATTCAGGTGCGTAATTTAAAATGGGACACCCTGTGTGTGTATATATATATATATATATATATATATGCACACATTTGTTTTATATTTTTATGTTATACATCATATTGCGTATTAAGGAAGATACAGTCAGAACTGTAATGGAAAAACTAGTTATACATTTTATGCACAAGACTGCTGAAGAAAATTATAAGATATAAAAACAAAGATGATATATATATGTCAATTATTAAATAATAAATTTTTTTATGAGAATATATAGAATTATTTAAATGATCAATTTATAAACGACCATATACTAATACTAGTAAATTTACTAGTAAATTTACTTCCAAAGGGAACTAGTTTCTATATGGCCTATTTAATATGTATGTCGATTATATAAACTGTATCATAGTTAATGATTTAATTGTGCAGAAAATGTGTTGATGCACAAAATATATAGCGCTATTATCTAGTTATCGGAACAAAAAGAGTGAAATAGTGACTGCTTCCTGACAAAAAGTAACCTTACAAGGGAGCTTCGTAAACCCGAAAATTCAGATTTTATTGAAACTTTGCACAAATGTAAGCTAGGTAAATAAATGAATTTAGATAATTTCAGTTGATGCTAAAAAACGATTTGAAAGGGTGAAACTACCCTTCAAAGATACAGAAATTTTTGATTTTTTAAATATATTTCGTAAACTAAATGAAATAACAAAAAATGTTTTATACAAAAGCTTCATAGAAAATTTTTCTCTATTTAACTGTCATTAATTTTTCGAAAAAAAAATATTTTTAAAAATTTACCCTTTGTATCCCCTATGTAATATATTATCTATTGTGTTAAAATTGTGATTTTAATAAAACCTGGTATAAAAATGTAGGTTCAATAAAGTCAATAATTTATAAAATTTTAGTTAATGCTAAAAGACGCTTTGAAAGGGTGAAACCACTTTTCAAAGATACAGAGGCTTTCGATTTTTTCTATATATTTCGTAAACTAAATGAAGTGTCAAAAAATTTTTCATACAAAGGTTTTATAGTAAAAATATCTTTATTCAATTATGCTACTCATTTCTTGAAAAAAAAAAACAATATTTTTAAGAATTCATTCTTTGTTTCTATATGAAAGTGTACCTATTATGTATTATGATATTATAAGTTTATTATCAAGTTAAGTCATGTTATATTCTACGTGTATTCATAATTATATTAAAGCATAAGAGGGTTTATTGTTCAATTATTAGCTTGACAGATTTCTATGTGCACATAACACCATTTTTATATTGCATACACATTTGTTACGTAAAATAAACAATATATATTTTCAATGTTAAACATCAAAAAGATAATTACACGATAATTAGAAGCTATATGATTATTCTTACATTGCGCATACAGTTGTTACGTAAAAGAATAGTTTATCAATATAACAAAAATGAAATGTGTATATACAGGATGTCCCAGACCTCCATGATCATACTTTGCGAGAACATAGAACGGATTGAGATGAGCAAGAAAATCCCGTGCCGGTTTGCAATGTTCGCAATAGTTTTCGAAAAATTAATTATTTTATCTGAGCTAATCAGCGCACGAGAAGCGGCAGCCAAAAGAAACATATCTTCGGCCGGCGCGCGACCGTGATGCACACGAATTGCGACTCGCTGCATCCTTCCGCCCAGGTACAAGACATAGCAAGGGCTTGATACACTAACACATGTGCATGATATATCCGTGTGCCGAATCGACGCCGAATCTAAGAATGTGTCGCCGCTTCGTTGTTTCATCTCTACATACACATATACAGCCGAAACGCTTCGATTCGCCGTCGATTCAGCACATGGATATGTCATGCACATGTGTTAGTGCATCAAGCCTCGCTGTGTCTCGTAACTATAGGCGGAAGGACACAGCGAATCGCGATTCGCGTGTGTCAAGGTCGCGCGCCGGCCAAGACGTCTTTCTTTCGGCTGCCGCTTCCCGTACGCTAATTAGCTCAGCCTGTACATGAAAACCTTTTGAGCTAATAATGAACAATGAATCTTCTTATGCTTTAATATAATTATGAATAGGGATACACATAGAATATAACATGATTTAACTTGATAATAAACTTATAATATCAAGATACACTTTCATATAGAAACAAAGAATGAATTCTTAAAAATATTGTTTTTTTTTTTTCAAAAAATGAGTGGCATAATTGAGTATTTTTACTATAAAACCTTTGTATGAAAAATTTTTTGATACTTTATTTAGTTTATGAAATATATTGAAAAAATCGAAAACCCCTGTGTCTTTAAAAGGTAGTTTCACTCTTTCAAAGCATCTTTTAGCATCAACTAAAATTTTATAAATTATTAACTTTATTTAACCTACATTTTTACCAAATTTTATTAAAATTAGAATTTCAATACGATAATATATTACATAGAGGACAGAAAGAGTGAATTTTGAAAAATATTTTTTTCAAAAAATAAAGAATACAGTTAAATAGAGGAAAATTCTCTATGAAACTTTTATATAAATCATTTTTTTTATAGTTTATTTAGTTTACGAAATATATTGAAAAACCCGAAAATTTCTTTATATTTGAAGGATAGTTTTACCCCTTCAAAACGTTTTTTAGCATTAACTGAAATTATCTAAATTCATTTATTTATCTAGAAAGAGGAGGGCGTACCAGGTGGTACAGGACGCCGTGCGTTCGAAATTTGCGTATCTTTCCAGAGAGAGAAAAATATCGAGAGCGCGGTTTTACTAGGCCGGGACTCGAATTTTACTCGCGTTTTCCTAACCCGGCCTACATTTGTGCAAGTTTTCATTAAAATCTGAAATTTTGGGGTTTGCAAGATTCCCTTGTTAGATATCAAAATAAAATAGTAACCAAAAGTGGTATTTTTTGTCAAATTCTGAGAGTAACTGAGGCTATTCAAGTAAGAAAATAACATCAGTTAAATTAATAACATACATAATAATAATAATAAATTAAATAATATGTAGTATAACGTTCTCTTAAGATTTTTTGAAGTTTTGAAAATTTTTTTACTTTAATGTGCAGAATATACTCTCAGAAAAAGATTTGTCGCTTATATACTGTTTTCTTTTTTAATTCAGTTTTGATAAGTAGAATGTTGATAAATAGGAAAATGATAATTTTTTATTATTAAACAGAAAAATGATAATCTGTCATCAACATTGATTCATCTTTTTTTGTTGTGCTATAACTTGTATAAATATGAAATTACATGAATTTTTAATATTAGCTAATAAAAGGCAAAAATTTTAATTAATTTTTAAATTAAAGTTAATATTGGGAGTACAAATTAGTTCGGTCCGTTTTCAAAAGATGGCTCTGACTGTTATGAATGTTTCATAGTGACAGCTGATTTCGGTGGTTTTAGAGAAATTAGACATCTGTCAATAATATTCAATTTATATCGCTTTGAGTTTCATACAAAACCCTTGTTTTTTACTGTGTTGAATATGTCAAATTTTGTGTTAACTAAGCAGCATTTGCGGGAAGTTTTAGTTTTCTGCTTTAATTGGAAGAAAAGTGCAGCTGAAGCGCATCGAATGTTTGTAGAAGTTTATGGTGACAATGCTCCAACATGATAAATCATGTAGGGAATGGTTTCGACGTTTGAAGAATGGTGATTTCAGCGTTAAAGACAAGCCTCGCTCTGGACAGCCAAAAAAATTCGAAGACAAAGAATTGGAGGCATTACTCGATGAAAATCCGAGTCAAGAATCGGTATAGGCTACAATTGATTCGTTTGAACCGTGCATTACGAGAAAAACGGCCGGAATACGAGCAAAGACATGACAAAGTTATTCTTCTGCATGATAACGCTCGGCCTCATGTCGCAAAAGTCATAAAAAATTATTTGGAAACGCTCAAGTGAGATATTTTACTGCACCCGCCGTATTCGCCGGACATTGCTCCTTCTGATTACTGGTTGTTCCGACGGATGCAGCACGATTTGGCAGTTTACCGGTTCACTTCTTTCGCAGAAATCGAAAATTGGCTCCTAACTTGGATCGCCTCAAAAGACGAGACATTTTTTCGAGATGGAATTCGAAAATTGCCTGAGAGGTGGGAAAAAGTAGTAGCCAGCGATGGACAATACTTTGATTAATCTGTTCATTCATTTTGTTCTGAAATAAATGCATTTTTTACCACAAAAAAACGAACCGAACTAATTTGTACTCCCAATATTATAATAATTTTAGATGTAAAAATTTTGGAAATACTATTAATTTAAAAAAAACTAACAAATAAATTATAATAAAACGGCTCAAGAGGATTTAAGTATAATATATGCGATGTACAATGCAAAGTCAAACAATGGTCAGTAAATTATAAACCCACAGTTGTTATCAGAGTTTA